AAGCATGAATGTTTTTTAAACAAATAATGAATAATGGGATCTTTAGAGATTTGCCCTGATTAGAACGAATGCTTCTTTTGCTATTGGTTAACACAAGTTTTATCAGGAAAGGTAAGAATAACTTCTTAAAAAGGCAAGATTGTTATTTCAAAATAAGACTCTCAGGGACATGCTACAGAAAGCCCTCCTGCTGTGGGGGAAAGCAACCAGCAGGGCTGACAGCCACCATGGGCCCTGAAGCAAGGCGGGGGGCAGCTCTGAACCCCATGGAAGGGGGCGGGGGCCAGAGGCAGCCAGCCCTTAGCACTGCCCAGACCACGGCATGCCCTCCCCAGCTCCCAGAGCCATGCGGACTGTGCAGGGTGGCACTCTGGCGTTCCAGCGGTGATTCAAAGGAGCCCTGGGCTCTGTCTGGGAGCCCCAGTACCCTTTGAATTGTCAGGCTCTGGGGCAGCTTCCCCCTTTAATCCCTTCCCCACCCCCTCCCACCCTGGTCAGTGCACCTAGAAGCAACTGACACTGAGCTTTTCAAAGTCACACTGAAAAATAACATCTTCTCTGATGGTCGTGCATGGGGAACTTCATCTTTTAATCTGTGGTCAGCTTCTGCATAGGGCCCATTCCATACTCTCTTTTATTTGCAGCTGTAATGACGATGGCAGGCCCTGATTCTGCAACCCCTGCCCATGTTGCTGGGCACGTACTCGTGCGAGATGTTACACTAGGACCTGGCTTTCAGTTACACTCAAGGTTCCTTTAAAGGCACTTTAAAGGCTTACACCCATTTTAAGGCAAGTTAGTGCAAAGGGGCCTTAGCCTAAATGAGAATCAGGGCAAATGAGATTACTTGTATAGGTGCTCATCGTGGAAAGTAAGGGTTGCACACAATGTGTTTGCACATGTGTGTGTGTGTGTGTGTAATTTTCAAAAGATGCTGAGCCATTGGGAGCTCCCATTGACTTATGGATGCTCAGGCCCTATGTCTCTATAGAAAAGTGATATATCACCCCAGTCCTCTGACGCACCAAACAGCTGCTCCCATCCCCCTATGACTTTTCTCATTAGCACAGCTCAAGAACTTTGCATGAATCCAGAGCTGAGATGTTTTAACAAAAATAGGGATCAGACATTTGTTATGCTGTAATGCAAATCCAGTCGAGGTAGCACAGTTTAGCTAGAAAGGGAGAATGTAGGCTGGAAAAGAAATCAATGATCTTGATTGCGGCCAAGACATACAAGACATTCTTTTAAAATCAAAATACCCCCACTCCCAACACGAGGAAAAAATAAAGCTGCCGCAAAGTCTTTCAAGGAGAAACATGAGCTGTTCTGCAAGTGCCATAACAACTTAAAAGCCATTCAGATTTCCCCAAATATAATGCTCAGTTTCCATTCTCTTCCAAGACCGAGTGTTAGCAAAACACTGTTCCTTTCAGTTTCCTGTTCGGGGACATGCATGTCTGATCTGGAAATGTATCCAACTCCAATCATGCTCTTTTGTTCACATACACAAATCATGCAAGACACCAATTCTGGTTGCTTGGGAGCTCAGCCAGGCTCACAAATAAAGCCTTAACCAGACATGACAACAGAAATGATGATAAAATGGGGAGTGAGATGCAGAGATGATGTGTCTTAGGTTAAAAAAAGATAGAACACATCATAGGAAAAGAGGAGACTATTCTAACCATTTCCAGAGTTTTCAGTGCTTCTGGGTAAATCCTACATCTCTGTGATTTTGTTACTGGAATGTAGACTTGCTCGTCTTTTATCTAGTTCTCCAACTGTACATTTGCACCTTGGTACCTGGTCATTAGTGAATTTATAGGATCGTTTCCTTTCATGGAGAAATGAACATGCTAAAGGAAAATAAGAGGCTGTTTAAAAACTCTGAAAATTGCCACACACAATGTGTTACAATCTTTTTTTTTTTGCCCTTAAGACATCACCACTTCCATGGAAACACTGCCAGACGGTACCGCCTTGCAATCTCCCTGCTGCTTGGATCACAATCCAAACAAAGCCTGGTCATATCTTGCTATTACCACATGTCTTGTCAATAGCAGATGCATCGAATTCCCTCTTTTCATGCAAGGGGGAATCAATGCTATGTGCCTTCAAAAGCTGGGTGGGGGACGGCCCATGCTACAGAACTCAATGCCCTCATTCCAAAGCAACTGGAGTTTTGTCCCATGCAGAAAATCATTTCAGAAGGAAGCTGTCTCTCGGGAAGCCTGGTGTTTCTGCAATGGAACTGCAGTCCGAGATGAAGCACAGAATTTCAAAGCAGAAATGAGAACGTATGGATAACAAAATCCATCGAAAATACCTGTGGCTGCTAGAGCATCCAGGGACCGACTCAGCTGACCTTGAGTGCTTCCATGGAGATTAATCAGGTATTGTGTGCCAGGTATGAGATTAGTAAATTCTGTTTCTCGTAGGTTTCCTGGCACAAAGATTTCCTGGATTCTGTTTAAACCGGGAAGGCTTTTCAAAGTGAGAAGGAACTGATCAAATAATGCATCTTGTGCTGCCCAGGACACTGTGAAACTATTGAAAGTCCTGCCTGTTATTTTAAGGTCATGAATTTGGGCAGAGGCATCCAGGATGGAAAAATCAGTGGGCACTGACCCCAGAGTATGAGACTCAGTGCTTGGATGTGCCACATAACTTTGTTCAGTAGGTGCTGGGCTGGTAGGATTAAGAGTTGTTTCACTGTCTGATTCTCCAGATGCCGTGACTAGATGTGCTAAACAGAGGCAAATCACAAGTTAAGTTTTCCTTATTAAAAACAAAAAAGCAAAGAACCAAACAATACCTGACATCTGAGAAAGGTTTGTTTCTGTGGTTTGCATTAAAGATCTGTACACACAGAGAAAGCAGATGGGGCAGCTGATTGTTTGGAGACTGAATCCAGGTTGTAAGTAAAGGCAGCTTTACAAAATGTAATAACTTAGTATCAGTCTCATGCCAGCCACAGTCAAGGGTAGCTCTAGAGCATCAATCTCGATAGCTCGCTATTTAGGGGCACTTGTTTTCAGTCGAGATACTGAATCAGGTCCTCAACTAGTGTCAATCAATATCGCTCCACTGACTTCCCCGGAGCTATGCTGATTTACACTGGCTAAGGAGCTGGCCTTCAATCTCTTCAACATGCCTTGTAGCCACACAATATGACAGTTAACGTTACTGATGTAAACCAGAAGTGCATCGCATGCCGGGACTGCAAACATAGCTAATGCAGATTGAGAATTCAGCTATAGCTGGAATGTTGCTACATTTTTTCCAACCCTAAGAAAAACAATCATGGAGCTATTGGCTGTCCATACACATGCCACGTTCTTACAAAAAAAAAAACAACCTGGAAAGAATCTTAGGGAGCCTTTTCTTTAAAGAGCTACACAGGACAAAGAGATGAGCCAGCACTCGCTCTGTACACAGCGTTAACATGCAACTCAAGAGTAATAGCTTATGCCCTAATAAATCTGTTAGTCTCTAAGGGTATATCTATACAGCAGGGCTTAACTCAAAATAAGCTATGCAAAGTGAGCTACATGCTTATTAAGAAATTGGGAGCATCTACACAGCACTTATTTCGAAATAGGGCACTCTTCCTCTGACTTCCCTTACTCCTCATACAATGAGGGTTATGGGAATCAGAGTAAGAAGTCCTCCAACTTTACAGTATTTCAACATTATTTTGAAATAACTTCCTGCTGTGTAGACATGGACTAAGTTATTTCAAAATAATATTTCTGGGTAGACGTAGCCTACAAGGCAGGGCTAAAGTCCAATTAAGCCTCACAGCTTCAGCTATGTCAACTACGTAGCTGACGTCGAAATAGTTAAACTCAGCTTCAGGCACTGTCTACCCAGCAGGAAGTCGAAGGAAGAGTGTTCTTCCTTCTACTTCCTTTACTCCTCGTGAAATGAGGGTTACTATGAGCCGGAGCAAGATGTCCTCCATCTTGACATTATTTTGAAATAACAGATTGCAGTGGAGACGCACACTATGTCATTCCGAAATAACGCTGCTGTGTAGATGTACCCTAAGGTGCCAAACGACTCCTCCTTTTAACATGCCTCATTCCATCATCAGACTTTGGGATTCTCAGGGTAGCACAGATAAGAGTGAATGTCCATCTCAACTTAACAGGCAGCTAACTTTTCTCAGACTTCAGTTAGTCATGCAGCATTCTCCCTTCATCAGTGGACTAGCCACATCATTCCACGCTGGCTGTCCTGCTTCCTTGGCTCCATGGCATTCATTTAAAAG